TTTGTTGTGCTATTGTGTTTGCCACGTGTTTGGGTTGGGTGTAAATATTGTTTTTATTTGTCTTAATATTTTTTACTTGTAGAGTGTGTTGCTGCTGTGACATATGAATGCAACAACTTCTCCCAAACAGCAATGGGTCAAATGGCTTTCTTCAGTTGCACTTCTCCACCCTGGTGACAATGAACTCATGTTGAATCTTTTTGTGGAACTCTAAGAATCTGTTAAGAAATATTTCTTAGATAGCGAGGAATGCAATTTTTTTTGTGTTGTTTCACTTCTGCATTAGTTCCAAGTTTGATCCAAAAGGGGAAGAACTACATGAGCTTGAAGCATTTCGCAATTTTGTATTTGTTTTAAATGACTTTCGTTTGGCTTTTGTTTTAAGGTTGCCCTTACCAAAAAGTAGTATACTTCAAGTTTATTTTAGTAACTTAAATGTCATTTTAAGTATATTTCTGAGAAGTACATAAAGCCCATTTCTGAGAAGTACATAAAAAGTAGACTAAAAGTATACTTTCCTATTTTTAGTTTAAAAGAAGTATACTAATAGCACACTTGAATAAACTTCTTTTTCGTAAGGGTGGTGTGAACTACATGAACAAATACAATATTTTTCCTGGGCTGCAGCTCTTGACTGAATCAGTATAACATGTATTCAGATTAGGTCACTAGTAAAGATCCTGGCTCACTACACATTGGGCTTTTATTGCATTATAGTCCTTCACGTCTGCTGCGATCTCATAATACTTAGAATATCAAAATCAACTGCGGGCGGCAGATCCTTTTCTTATTTAGCACCCAAACTCTGGAACAATCTACCTAACATTAAAAACCCATAGATTAAAAACTAATCTCTTTAACAGTGGCACTGTTAAGGGGGATGCAGAGTGTGTCAGGCATATGAGCCCAGGACACTAGGGTGCCCCAAATCACGACTTTGTATATTTATTTATTTATTTACTATTTATTTAAGCTTTACCGTACAAATACACCTTACCATTTTTTTGCATGGCTGTTGTATTCACAATATTTTTTAAAAATGTGGCCAAATTCCAATGTGAATGAATGACGTTCATGAACTGACCCGCATGCGCAAAAAAACAAAAAAAAACAAGATGGCATGAAGCTCGCTGTAAACATGAAGGCCACTGAATTTTATGCATTTACTTGTTCATTTAAAAGCTGATGTGCCTCCAAAGCCAGCGAATTCGCGATCAGGCGATAAGGAGGATGAAGATGAGAAAGAGAGCAAAGTTTTAAAATATTTACAGTACGACACCTTATGTTTTGCTTGCTTGTATAGAGCTGTCACTGTAATACACCGTAACACAACACCACTGCCTTTCCCCTGCTACCTTCTGCAACTGTCTGTCACGTTCAGCGAGTGACCAAAGAACGTCTCAGTTTACTTATGTAACCATGGTTCCCTGAGTAGGGAACGAGACACTGCGTCCTCTAGGGGTCGCTATGGGGAACGCCTCGTCGTGACCCGTGTCTGAAGCATACATTGAAAAAACACCAACTCGTTGGCCGGCGGCAGCCATGATATCACTACCGGTGCGGCTATAGTATAAATAGGCGCCGGGAGCTACACATCATTCACTTCTTCGTCTGAAGCTTGCATCCGCAGCATGGCAAGAAACCTAGAGGACACAGTGTCTCGTTCCCTACTCAGGGAACCATGGTTACATAAGTAACCTGAGACGTTCCCTTTCATGGGAA